TTTGTTTTTAATTTTATTTTCCTTATTTTAATTTCTAGTTAAAATTTAATTGTGTGTGTGCATGTGGGTGTGGGTATGTGTGTATTATCGGGAGAGGGAGAGGAGGTGCATACACCACAGCATGGGTGTGGAGATCCCAGGACAACTCCGTGGAGTCAGTTCTCTCCGCTCCTTTTCGGTTCGGGGACTGAACTCAGGCTGCCGGCTGCGAGCAGTGAGTACCAGTCCCTTGGCTCACCGGACTATGAAGGAGCACAGGTGGGGAGATGAGCCTGGGGGACAGCAGGAATACAAGGTTCTTCTGCCCAAGGGGATAAGTGTTGGGCACTAGAGGTGGGGGCGAGGAAAGTGACATGGTAGGTGCTGGGAAGTTGGGTATAATGCTCTGGAGCTTGTCTTATAAGAAACCGGGAGTCCTAGGGCTCGAGAGATGCCCCACCATTAAGAGCATTTGCTGCTCTTCCAGAGGATCCAGGTCCCAGAACCCACATGGCAGCTCACACCCTGCTGGGCTCAGTGGCACACACCACACACCTTTAACCCCAGTACTCCAGAAGGCCAACCTGGTCTTCAGCCAGGGCTACACAGTGAGGCCCAGTGAAAGAAAAAGAGATGGGAAGGGGGGAGGAAATATGGTGTCCCTACAGCAGTGAGAGGCCCTCAACCTGTGGGTCTATGGTCCCTTTGGGGTACAAACAACCCTTTCACAGGGATTTCCTAAGGCCACTGGAAAACACAGATATTTACATTAAGATTCACAACAGTATCAAAAATGCAATTATGAAGTAGCAACGAAAATAATTTTATGGTTGAGGGTCACCACAGCATAAGGAACTGTATAAAAGGGTCGCAGCGTTAGAAGGTTAGGAACGGCTGCCCTTGAGTCTCAAGAACAGAGACCTGACAAGCGGGACAATACTGTGACTCTCTTCTTTAGTACATGAGACTGGAAGATACATTTCTTCTTCCTAGGTGAAGGGTGAAGTGAAGTAGGCTGGACATCCCTGGCTCGAGGTGCTAACACAGCAATACCCAAGGGCAGATATCTGAGGATGGCAACATAGGACAGGCCTGGGGACAGACTGAGGAGGACGTCAAGGGTGCTCAATCCTGGGGCCGAGGAGGAGCACTTGGTGCACCTGAAGCTCTGCAGTGCTGTGGGAGTAAAGCCAGCATGAAGGAAGTCCTCTGTGTGGCCATGCTCCCCTGCGACTCTTGGCCTCCCCGGCTCTCCCTCCCTGCCCTCTACAGGCTCCCTGGGAGACAAACTGGGTCTCTAATGCTCCTTCGGAATCCAGCCCTAGGGCCAGGCTGCAGCAGAACACAGAGAAGCCTGCAAAGCTCCTGCTGAGAAGGAGATAGGGACCCCAGGAGAGAGGAAGAAGCGTGGACCAAACACCTGCCCCACAAGAGCAAAGAACCCAGCCTCAGGCCATCAGCAGCCAGTCAGTAACCCGGAAGCATCCCCAGGCGGTCTCCCAGTAAAAACCGCATTTTCTGAGCTGACTTTCTCTGTTCCCTCCAAAGTATAAGGTGTCCCTTAAATTTTTTTTTAAAGCAACTGGAGACAGAGTTTATTTTCATTTAAATTTTCTGTTCTTTTTTTTAAAAATCTATTTATTTATTATGTATACAGTATTCTTGGTATTCTGCCTGCATGTATCCCTGCAGGCCAGAAGAGGGCACCAGATCTCATTAAAAATGGTTGTGAGCCACCATATGGTTGCTGGGAACTGAACTCAGGACCTTTGGAAGAGCAGGCAATGCTCTTAACAACTGAGCCATCTCTCCAGCCCCAATTTTTTTTTTTAATGTATTAGTGTTTTGCCAGCTTATGTGTCTGTGTTCTACATCCATGCCTGGTGCCCTTGGAGGTTGGAAAGAGTGCATCAAATCTCCTGGAACTGGAGTTGTGTATGGTTGTGAGCCACCATATGGGTACTGGGAGTCAAACCGGGGTCCTCTGCAGAAGCAACAAGTGTTCCAAACTGTTAGGCCAACTCTCCAGCCCTTCATAGCAACACTTTTTAAAATTTAATTTAATTTTTTAGACAGTGTCTCACCATGGCCAAGGCTGGCTTCAAATTTAGCTGAGGATGACCTTGAACTTCTAATCTTCCTGCCTCCACACTCACAGATGTGTGCCACCATGTTCAGTATTATATGGTATTGGGATCAAACCCAGGGATTCATGTAGTGATATTTTATTTGTATTTTAATAAAGCTTACCCAAAGCTCAGAATGCAAAACTAAGCCACTAGAGGCCAGGGAGTGGTGGCATACACCTTTAATCCCAGGATTCAGAGACTGAGGCCGAGGGACCTCTGTGAGTTCAAGGCTACCCTGGGCTATACCACCTGGATCCAGAAACAGATCCAGGTGGTGGTGGCTTACACCTTTAATTCCAGTGTTTGGGAGTCACACACCTTTTATCCCAGTACTAGGAAGATGGAGACAGGGGCTAGGAGTGATAGGGCTGGGAAGAGAGAGGAATGCAAAAGGGAAGACACAGGCTCTCTGGAGTGTGGAGTCTGAGGATTCCTGGAGACAGGATCTCACCCTTTAGGTCTGAAGAATTGGTAGAGGTAAAAGATCTCTCTGGTGATTGGCTGCTTTGTTTTTCTGATCTTCAGCTTGAATTTTAATATCTGTCTTTGGGTTTTTATTATTCGTGCTACAGATTCATGCGCACTAGGCAAGCACTCTACCAACCAAGCCACATTCCCAGACCACAGGGCTTCCTTCTAACATTCATCTCATGCCCCGGATTCCTCAGTTAGCAAGAGCTCTCCAAGGAGCTTTCTGTCCAGGGACCTCTCCTCTGCATCCAGGTGGCTATAGTGTCGCCTAGGACACAGGCTGGACCATATCCACCTTTGTGTGATGTGCACCGCCTCCCCTGGGGGGCTGCTCAGAGGTCAGTATTGGAGCCCACCCCTAAGCCTGCAGCCTGGCCTGCAGACACTGGCCGCTAAAATTATGCAAGTTTGATGGAGGAAGGTCATTGAGCAATAAAGCAACTGCTTGGCTGGCCCTGATAGGTTAAAGCATAGGTGGGAGAAGTAAACAGAATAGAATTCTGGGCGGAAGAGGAAGTGAGGTCAGACTCTGCTCTGCTCCCAGAGAGACCCAACAGCTCTGCTCTCTGGAGCAGAGACGCCATGCTCAGCTCTCCCGGGTAGACACGATAGCTCTGTGCTCTGAGGCAGACGCATGAAGCTCAGACCCACGATGGATGTAGGCTAGAATCTTCCCGGTAAGCGCACCTTGGGGTGCTTACAAACAATTATTAGAAATGGGCTAGTCCAGGTGCGAGAATTAGCCTAGAAGAGGCTAGATAGAAATGGGCCAATTCATTTAAATGAATACAGTTTGTGTGTTATTTCGGGCATGAGCTAGCCAGGCGGCCGGGGTGCTTGGGACGCAGCCCCGCCGCTCCTATTTCAACACAAGTTTAATTATCTGGCCAGCACTGGCCATTTGGGCTCCACTTTGTTGTTTGCAAGTACCCCAGGAAGGTACAGGCATTCACGGCAGCCCTGTTCCAATGAGGAATTGGTCAGAGAGGGTACGTGACCGTATGAGGTCACATAGCTTCAAACTGAGGACTTCTTTCTCCTGACAATCTGTGACTGCCGTGGTACCCTTGCTCAGCAGCAGCTGGCAGAGACTGGGTCACGCACCTCGCTGTCACCACACTCTGGAAGGAAAGCATCCTGCCTGCCCTTCTCAGTGGCAAGTACAAGCTCATAAAGGTGGTGAGCTGTGAAGCTGGCATTTGAACGCAGGTCTTCTGGATTCCAAAGACAGTATTTTTCTCTCTGCAATGAAGCCGGATCCAGGCATGGGCTGAATGACTCCCTTCCAGTCCCCATTCTGCAAGTTATTTCCTTATACCCTCTGACCCAGACTTTCCCCCTCTCTCAGTGTGGTGCCTGCCTTTTGATTTTAGACCGACAAATTGGAGTCAAGGGGTCACTGCCTCTTTATTTGTTACAGGTGGTGGCTCTGGGTCCTCAGCAACTAACTAGAGTGGAGAAATTTGTTCTGCAGATTACAGGCTGAGGCGCCTCAGGGGGGAAAAGGGTGTGCCTACAGTCACAGGGGGCCAGCTGCCCCTTTGCACACCTTCACCCCCCAAGGTGCTCTCAGGTGAGAGAGTGGGGCAGAAGTACCTGGGAGATCTGCCAGTGCCGCCTGCAGCAAACCGGAAATTCTTTTGAACTCTCATTTCATCCTTCCATTGTCAAGTGAATTTTTCATTACAGGCCATAAAATATCCATGTGTGCTTTATTATGAAAATGTCCTAAATGACTTACCAGCTAGTCCCCTAACTCCCGCTCTTCCCTGGACCTACTTTCCTACCTAGCTGTGCAAAAATCGCTGCTCCCTGCCTTGCCTATCCCCCCTATCCCCCCCTGCTCTGAGTTTACCGTTCTCTGCTGGAAGGGCTAAGAGAAAGGAACCAGCTGGCCTTCTGCTGGGAAATAATTATCTACCGAAGTTAGGCATGAGGGAGTCCGGCTCTTCCAGCCCACAGCTTCGCCACACCCCCAGCTCTCTCCATCTTGAGTAGACCCGGAGTTCCCCAAGACTTCAGCAGCATGGCTCCTTGAAGGAGGAGCTTGTGGGCGTCAGGAGGACCTGCACCCCTCCTGCAGAAGTGCAGCATCCCTTCCTTTTTCTGGAACCAGGCTCTGACCTTGAGTCCTTTCCTCCAAAGTTCCCTTCCTGGGAGCAGAGGGACCTGCAGGGGCCCTTCTGGAGGGAAGCCAGGGATCAGAGCCTGGCTGAAATCTCAGCTCCCATACCCACCAGCCAAGTTCCCTGGCCTCCAGTTCAAAACTGGAGGAAAATAGGGAAAGACAAGGTGTTTGGAAGGCTCAAAGAATGGAGAATCCAGCAAAGGCCCGCAGCTGGCCTTAATATCCCGAGGCCTTAGACACACATTGCCGCTGTCCACAGCACAGGAACGGGTAGCGTGAAAGAGGACACTCACCGGTGGGTGCTTGCGCTTCCGGCCAGGCCTCCCCACCTTCCGGGTCGTGGTGCTGGGTTCCTGGCGCTCTTCCTTGCCACGATTCTCCTCCTGTTCCTCTCCTTCCTGTGGGCACAGACACACCCGGTAAGTCTGAGCTGACCCAAGAGGCACTGTGTTCCAGGCTAGCTGGACTGGCATCGGCCTCCTCCAGTCCTAATTCCACAACAGTCGCACATGCAGGGCTGTGCCATGCTGTCCCCACCCTTCCTGGATGGTAAAGCTGAGCTCCATCCAGATACATCGGATCTCCATCTGCATACAGCTGGGGCAGATGATGTGCCTAGCAGGCATAAGACCCTAGATTCAACCCCTAGCATTGACCAAATAAAAAAACTGGGTAAGACCTACAGGGCCCCCAGGAACCCCACTCTCTGTGTGTGTATTTTGATTTTTTTGTTTTGTTTAAGATAGGGTCTCAGCTGGGCAGTGGTGGCACACACCTTTAATCCCAGCATTTGGGAGGCAGAGACAGGGGGATCTCAGTGAGTTAAAGGCCAGCCTAGTCTATAAAAAATGTTCCAGAACAGCCTGGAATGTTACACAGGGAAACCCTGTCTCAAAAAAACAAAACGAAACAAACAAACAAAAAAGACAGGGTCTCTTGAATTTGCTATGTAGACGAGGCCTCAAAGGAAACCATCTGCTTCTGTCTCTTGAATGTCAGGATTAAAGGTGTTTGCCCCATGCTCAGCTCCCTTTTTGATTTTTTTTTTCTTCAAAAGGGTTTCTCTGTGTAGTCCTGGCTGGCCTGAACTGTAGACCAGGCTGACCTCAAACTCAGAGATCCATTCCCTCTGCCTCCCGAGTGCTGGGATTAAAGGTGTGCGCCACCACTGCCCAGCTGTGATAAATAAATCTTAGAAAAAAAAAAAAGTGTGTGTGCCACCACCACTCTGCTTCCTTTTTGATTTTTAAGACAGGACCTCATTTAGCTCAGATTAGGCTCTAACTCCCTATGTAGCCAGGGATGACCCTGAACTACTACCTCCATCTCCGGGTGCTGGGCATGAGCCACCACACTTGGCTTTAACCATACTCCTTTTCTTTCTTCATGTGTAGGTGCACGTGTGTATGTTGTATGTGCATGCACTTGTATGCATGTGTGTGGAAACCTTAGGTGTTTTCTTCAATTGCCCTTCATCTTTTTTTTTCCCTCCAAGACAGGGTTTCTCAGTATAGGCTTGGCTATTCTGGAACTCACTCTTTAGACTGGGCTGGTCTCAAACTCACAGAGATCCGCCTGCCTCTGCCTTTGATGCTGGGATTAAAGGTGTGCGCCACCACTGCCCAGCCTGCTCTCTACTTTTTAAAAAATAATAAGAATCATTACATATAGGGTCAGGTGGTGGTGACTAACACTTTTAATTCCTAGCACTCAGGAGGCAGAGGCAGGTGGATCTCTGTGAGTTCGAGGTCAGCCTGGTCTACAGAGTGAGTTCCAGGACAGCCAGGGCTACACAGAGAAACCCTGCCTCGAAAAACCAAACCAAAAAGCTACTACACATATTAATTTGTATGTATGTGACTGTACACACATGCACCACAGTGTACATGAGAAGGTCAGAGGCCTTTCAGCTGACTGTCTCCACCATGCTGGTTGTTGAACTCGGGTGGTCAGCTTTGGGTCAAGTGATTTTTATCCACTGAACCGTATCACCAATCCTAAACCTTACCTTTTGAGACCGGGTCTTCTCAAATGGCTGTCAAGCACTTCCTGACTATGTCTCTCCAACGCTGGTGTTACAGCTATGCACTTCTCATGCAGCATTTATGTGGGTGCTGGGAAATCTGACCTCAGGTCCTCATGTTGCATAGCAAGAACTTTACCCACTGAGCCATCTCCCTTGCCCCCATATTTTCCTAATCACTAGACCATAACACAAGGCTTTGGTAATGGATTTATTTCTGAGTCTCTTTGGTTTGGGTGTTAGGTACTGAACCCAGGACATCCTATCTGCTAGGTAAGTGCTCTACCACTGAGCCATATTTCCAGACCACAGCAGGTTTTATTTAGATGAAGAAAAAAAATCTACATAGGTACAAACATTTAAGGAGCAAGCTATTTAATGAATCTTTATCGAAAACAAGACAACATGAGAAGAAACGGTCAACTTAGTGATGTTGTTTACAGTGCATACACTACTCGAAATGCAGGCCTCTGTGCAGAATGCAGGAATGTGGTTCAGGCTGTAAACACCTCTTAGTCCATGTGGCCTGGCCCTGATAATGTCATCATTCTACAGAAGCATCCTGGAGACCATGGTACCCCTTGATCCTTCTCACTCATAAAGTTTTGTTTGCTTTGTTTCCATTTGTCAAAACCTCCTCAGGGCCAAGACCTCTGGGCTTTACCTCCTGGGGCAGAGTTGCATGCCTAGAAAGTCCTGCTTCACTGCTCCAGCCTGGCCACAAACCACCTACAAGTCCCTTTTGACTCAGCAGACTCCAGCATGACTAACCACTGGCAGAAACAATGTTGGGGAAGGGGAAAGTGCCCTGGACCCAGCTGAAGGATAGTAAGCTGCTCCCCAAACCCCACATGGTATTAGTAGCTGAAAATGGCTTTGCAGATCTCACTGAGGAGCCAAGCCGCAGAGACAGTGGTATCATGGACAGAGAAGGTGAGGGTGCCCAGGTTTCCTGGAGATTTGAGATGGTCCTCCACATCCTACTCAACTTTCATTTTCTGCGATTTCAAAATAGTCTGTGGTTCACCACATTAATTTTCAGGTATTAGTAGGGCATGCAATGAAGACCTACTGTGATCAATCTCAGGCATCCGACAGACAACAAAGAGCACCCTTGACCTTTATGCCCATCTGCCCGCCCATCCATCCATCCATCCATCCATCATCTACTCAAGGCATGTCTGGGAAGAAAACAATCACAGCTCAGGTTCTAACAATCCTCTGAAGAATGTGAGTGGAGGTGACAGACAGGCATACCTTGGCACCCGCTGGTGGGGACAGTCCAGCTTGCAGAGGAGACAGAACAGACAGAGGCACAGATGCCGTCTCGGGGCATTGTAGGGTCAAGAAAGGTCTGTTGCTAGGCAAGAGACATCTGGCAAGGGGTCATCAGAGCTGGCTTCGGAGGGCACTGCCACTGGGCAAGTGCACAATGGCATGAGGACAGGGAGTTGGAGAAGGGCTGGAAAGGACCATGTAAGGAGTCCAGCCATAAAGGTTCTCCATGAGGAGTCAGCAAGCAGAGGAGGGTTCAGTGTGGAGGGAGAGAATGGTGCCAAGACCACTGTCTCTGGGGGTTCCTTTGAGGAGAGGCTGATAAGAGGTGCTAGAAGGCTCTGGAGAGACAGGCAACAGAGGGGGGACCTGTCACGGGTAGTCCAAGGTCATATGCCCAAGAGAAGCCAGGCTGTTGACTCAGAACTGTCTCCCAAGGTTCTAAAGATATCCCTGCAAGAAAGGGTTGCTGGGGAAACACAGACCAAATCTGAACCACGCAGCTCAGAGTATGAGGGTCACTGTGGGATGGCAACTTTGGGAGTGAGGTATTGCTTTAGGTTTGATTCTACCACAGCTTGTTTCCACCTTTATAAACTATGAGGAGGTGGTAGACATGGCACAGGACCTGCAGCACACTACAGTGGGTCCGGGGCTCCTGTTTCCTCATCTGGGATCCTGCTCTGAGCCTCAGTTCCTTATTCTCAAGATGAGGTGAGAACATGGCCATTCCGCCTGCCTCTTGGGATACTAAAGTGAACAATGGCAGGTCTGCTATCTATTTTGTTTGCTGTTTCTTCCTCAGAGCCTAGGATGGATCCTGTAAGAACTACACTACCTGGGATTTGAACTATTTCTTTAGTAAACTACATTTATTAGTTACTGGTTTGGGATTTGACCATCTAGATTTCGTTAGGAAAATCAAAGAGTGAAAGCCAATCTTGTCTTTAATCAAAAAAAAAAAAAAAGTGGCCACCACATAGCAATGACCAAAATCCAAAGTGGGCTAGATTGGTAGACTTGCCTAGTGTGCTTGAAACTGTGGCTGGATCCCTAGCACTGCACAAAGCAGGTGTGGTAGGACATGCCCATAACCCCAGCACATGGGAGGTTATCCTTGGTTAAAAGAGCGTTCAAAACCATCGGAGACCTTGACCAAAACAAAAATGGAAATTGAACCAAACCAGAGACACTTGGCCTTTCGGCACAGCCCCGCCCCTGTCCTCACAACTCACAGCAAACATTATGCCATACGGCTGTGGCCCACAGCTTCACCCCAGACAAGCTGCTCAGGCATGCTTCACACACTCAGTACACTCTTGCCACTGCAGATTCAATTCAAGGTAACCCAGCCCCGGAAGAAGGGGCCACCTCTCCAGAACCTGGAGAGTACCAGGCGGGGGCTATGTGCCAGTGCCAGGCCCGAACCCTATGCCCAGCATGAAGCAAGCTGTGCACAGACCTCCCAGACTTCAGAATCTACATCCAGGCTTGGCTCCCACCTTCCCTGGTGGCTCAGAAGCACAGCTCTGTGGGAAGCAAGTTATCAGCATACCATTCTAAAATGGAGGGCGTGCTCTGCTCAGGGCCCACCTGTGGTTCCTGCTGCTGGGCAGGGGCTGATACACTGAGTGGGTGAACAGATGGCCCGGGCCATGCCCTCAATGACTCCAGGGAGGCGTATCAAGTGGTTTATTCTTGCATCTGTCAGGGGCCTGTTTTACAGTGTCTGTGCTGATGGGTTCCGCAAAGGAATGTGAGCTCTGCTTCTCAAATCTGTAAGCAGTACTGAATGAAGGGCGTCTCTAATACTGAAGTGCAAGAGTCACCTGAGCATGTGGAAACAGCAACACATTTAGTGGGAACAGATTAGAGTCCAGGTTGGCCTCCTCATCTGTCAGGTTAGGAGATTCAGTTAGTCACTTTTAAGAGCTGGGGGGGGGGGGTGGACAGAAATTATAAATGGGGGTTTGGAAAGAGCAGGGTCTTCCTGTGCTCTGTGCTCACTAGTCACCTCCAACTTACCATCTTCTCCACAGCCTGCTTTCCTCATCCATAAAATGGGGATCATACTTCACAGTGACAGCATCAACAATAAAT